GGAAAGGGCCGGGGGGGGGGGAAGGAGATAGACTAAGCTGGATGGAGCCATATAACTTCTTCCACAACTTTTGCAAACACCATCTCGCCAACACGTTCTCCTTTTTTTCTCCCCATCCCATCTTTTCCTGCCTTCTTTCTTTCTTCTTCGAAGAAGGAGGCTTGTTTTATTTTTTTTAATCCCCCACCCCTTTGTAAGCTTCATTCAGAGGGGGAGGGAAGGATGGCGCGGCGGGGATATGGAGGGAATAAAGGGCGTTTTGCACCCCTCCCACCACCACGGCTGCACGACAGCCAGTTGGTTCTCCGCGGCGCTCCCGGAGTGGCTAAGGCAGGCGGGCCGCCTGGAGAGCCAGCGAGGCAGGGTTCCCGTGCCGAAGCCCCCGCTGCAACCTCGACGCGGAGGTGCGCAGAAAGGGAGCGAGCCGGTTCAAGAAGCCATCCGGGCGCGATCCTAACACGCCAACCAACGAGATTACTCGCGAGCAAATAGCGCCCCGCAGTCCATGCAGGGTTCATTGGGTGGAAGGACCAGGCTTATTCCCGAGCAAGCATTCAAGGCTACTAGCTCCTCTCTCCACGGAATAAGCAGCACCCTTTTTATAGCAGGATAAATTTACTCCAGGACTAAGTGCACGCTTTGGTCAGTCTCCTGTTGCCAATCTCAACCGGAGTAGAAGCGCTGAATCAACAGCTGACTGGTACAATCGACACGTTTGTACATCCCAGCGAGCCAGTGGGTCTACTCTAGTTGGAACGGCCGCAGAAGACTGGCCATAATGCCGGGATCAAGTTGGCTGCTTTAGCAGAAGCCGCCTGGCCATGCCCGTTGAGGCGAGGCTGGCGGGGCGCTTCTAATCGAGAGCCGTCCTTACACATGAAGGGGTGAGTCAGATCGGAACCCACCAAATCGGGAGTTTAGCGATTGCTCTGGAGTAAGAGGCGCGCTTTTCTTCCGCTTCAGATCCCGAAGACGACCACCGTTTGGGGGCGAATTCGGAGAAGGCGGTTCCCACTCGGAGCCAAACGCCCTGCCCTACTCCGGAGTAGACCACGCGCCCTGCTCCCTCCCGACGGCCAACGTAAAACCGGCCGAGTGGCCCGCCCTTCAGCCCTTGTCGAGGCACTTTTCACTCTCTTACCTGCAGCGCCGAGCGGCAGGAAAGTGGACGCCGCCAGCAGGGCTACGAAGGCGGCGCTGGCTGCCCCCATGGTGGCGCCGGCCAGGAGAGAAGGACGAAGGAGCCGCACAAAGAGCCCTTTATGGCCTTCCTCGCGCTTCAGGTAGCGGTGGCGGCGGTTGGAGTTTCCCAAAGATGCTGCCCGCCCGCCCGCTCGCTCGCTCGCTTGCTCGCCCGCCTGCCCGCCTATCCAACAGACCGGCGACCGCTCTCGCTCCGCGCTGAGGGGAGACGCTCGCGCTCCGCCTCCTCCCGGGAACCCGCGCCTCACACTGGCCACCCGGCGGAGGCTGCCCGAGGGGAGGGAAAAAGAAAAAAAGAAGGAGCCTCTGAGTCCGCCTGGTGGGCGCGCTTTTCCCTTCACGCCGGACAGCGGCTGCTCGGCTTGCCTTGCCTGTCGCGGACCCCACCGGCCGTCCCAAAGCAAGAGGGGCGGGCCGGCGGGCGAGGAAGCGCTCCTCCTTCTCTGGCGTCCCCCGAGAGGCAGGGGGGAGAAGAAGCGGGCCAGAAGGACTCGCCCCCCTCCAGGGGCGACGGGCAGCCCGGCTTCGGCCCGCGGCACACACACCACCGAAGGCCCAGGCGGCGAAGGCCCGGCCCCCATCCTCGGAACCCGTGTGCCTTAGAAACCTGTGGCTCGAGTTCTGAACTCCCTATGCTGGGGGCTGCGTGTGCACACGGGTTTCTGGCAAAGAAAGCTTGTTAAAGTCTTGGTTTTTGCCATGCTTGAGGGCACGAGGCTGTTGCATCTGCCTTTGGGACCAACAGTGCCAAAGCCTGTGGATTTGTCTACTTGGATCAGAGCAAAAACCCACCGAGTTTTACTCAGAGCTGGAAAAGATCACTTGGGGGGGGGGGCTGTTACTACAAGGAGTAGTCATTGCGGCTGTGTAAGTCTGTTGCAGCAAAAATCACAAAGGATATTGTCACCTTAAACTCGAGACACCTTGAGATTCTATGGCACAGGCTTGGACGTGGTGGCACTGCGGGCTAAACCGCGGAAGCCTGTGCTGCAGGGGCAGAAGACCAAGCAGTTGCAAGATCGAATCCACGCGACGGAGGGAGCTCCCATCGCTTGTCCCAGCTCCCGCCAACCTAGCGGTTCGAAAGCATGCAAATGCAAGTAGATAAATAGGGACCACTTCGGTGGGAAGGTAACAGCATTCTGTGTCTAAGTCGCACTGGCCATGTGACCACGGAAGATTGTCTTCGGACAAAACGCTGGCTCTATGGCTTGGAAACGGGGATGAACACCGCCTCCTAGAGTCGAACACGACTGGACAAAAATTGTCAAGGGGAACCTTTACCTTTACCTTCAGGAACAGTGGCCTGTTCTTCAGAGGCAACTGTCTGTGAATGGTTATGCAAAATAAAACTTCTTTAAGTTGCCGCAAACTCTTGGTTGTTCATGGTGACTACCACTGCCAGAATCTCCCCTTGTTGGTTGGTTTATACCAACTGTAGTCCAGAAACCAAACTTTGAATTGACCAGACTTGCTTCCTGGGCAGCACTCAGCACAGACTAATATTACTTTTCTCATGGGAAAGTTACAATACATGGTCCTCCTCTGCCTCACAGTAGGGCACACAGTGAAAGCAGAAATCCTGCAAAGTGCCATTCACAATTCTTGTGGTTAGCCCAGAATTTAGAATAACATGATATATGGTTATCACACATTGTTGAGTGCCCCAAGAGTACCAGCAAGGACTACCTACCCAGGGCTGCCAAGACTACTAGGGAGCATTTGACACTTGAAATGGGTCACTGTACAAATTTGTCCCTGGCTTTATCCATCACTCCTGATTCTCCCCAACATTAGCTGTTATGTTCTTCGCCCAACAACCCAATAGACACTAGTCACCGCTGTTGCCGCCAGGTATGTTGTTCATGTGAAACAGGATGCACATAGAAACACAAATATTTTATGTGAGCAGTATTGACCAAGCCAGCCTTGCTGTTAGTCCAAGCACATGTATTATTTATTTAACTTATAGGCCGCCCACTCTACCCAAAGGTTTCTGAGCGGCTTACAACATTTGACAGGTACCTAAGAGTTGGCGTTCTCAGTGTTGCCTCCAGCTTATGGAATGCTCTCCCCCATGATGCTAGGCTGGCCCTCTCTCTCTCTCTCTCTCTCTCTCTCTCTCTCTCTTATATATTGATTTTAATTCCTCTTCTCCTAATGGCTTGTGGTCTGCCTTGAGTCCATACGTTGTTGTAGTTGTAGTTGATTAGTCATTATGTACGTTGTGCCCGACTCTTCCTGACCCCATGGACCAGAGCATGCCAGGCCCTCCTGTCTTCCACTGCCTCCTGGAGTTTGGTCAAATTCATGTTGGTAGCTCCAATGACTGTCCAACCATCTCATCCTCTGTCATCCCCTTCTCCTCTTGCCTTCACATTTTTCCAACATCAGGGTCTTTTCCAGGGAATAATACATTATAAGGGACGTTTAAAAGAAAGGGTATTCCTTCAGATTAGGAAGGTCTGGTAACTACAGTACAGTACCTCAGAAATGGGCTTCCAGAGATAAAAATACAGCTTAGCAACATTTTTCCTGGAACGGATTAACGTCACTAAGCGAGGCACCACTGTACTGTAATGGCAAAGGAACTTTTTTTCCTTTTTTCTGCTAAACATTTGTTACATTTGTAGCCTACCTTTCCTCCAGGAAGCCCTAGATAGCGTACATCTTCTCCTCCCCATTGCATCCTGGCAACAACTTTGTGAGGTCTATCAGCTAGGAAGACCATGAATGGCCTAAGGTTACTCAGTGAATTTCATGGTCAAATGGAGATGTGTACTGCACTCACCTAAGTTCTAGTCCAGCATTCTTATTGCAGCATCGTACTGGTTTAGATAGGAAGGTGTTATATTTTTCTTCTCAGTTTGTAACTAGGACTTTCATGCAGAAGATGTAATTGAAATAAACTACACTTCTCTGAATTCACTGTGTCTTTTCAACCCACTTTCTATAACCCCGATGGGCCACTGACAGTTTTTCAAAACCGTTTTTTGCTATTATATTGTATTTCTCTATTGCATTGCCGTTGGGAATAATGTATATGTAATATCCCTGTTTTTAATTTAAAATATGCTGCTTTTAATTTCTAGTCTGATTTTGTTCCAATTCTGTTTTCATTTTTTTTTTCTTTTTATCTTACTGTGAGCTGCCCTGGGAACCAATTTGCTAAACAAACAAATAAAAAAAATCCAAAATATAATGAAATGGGGAGAGGGAAGGCAGCCAAAGAAGACCTCCGGGCCTGGTTTAGTATGACTTCCCTCCTCGCTACAAGGCTGTCATGCATCATCTGCTCTGTAGGAAGGATTCCAAGGGAAAGAAGAAGTAGGCACACAAAAAATGTGGGACCTGCTTCATCCTGTCTCTTCTTTTACCACCACTCTAGCACCATGCTGGACTGACTACCACCAGCTGCTCTGTCTGAAGGACCCTAAAGAGAGTTTATTTGCTGATGTTGTTTTGGGGTGATTTTTATCCTTTTGATACCGCTGAGCTATCTCAGAAGGGCTGATGTTCTGAAAGGCATATAAATAATTGCAGTAAATAAGTTAAGATGGATCATTTATTGCAGTGTGCTCTACATAGAGTTTCTTCTTGACAATGACAAGGAAAGCACCACAAGTGAAAAACAGAGTGACTAGAACTTTTTCAGAACTTCAGGCAGAGACAATATTGCGCCCGTATCTGGGGTTCAGGCAAGGTCACCTCAAACCCTGTTGCCAGTTGGAGATTTTGTTTTGTTTTCCAAGCTCACACTTTGCCCTTAGAAGGCTTGGCTGGGAGGGACTATCCAGCAATAACCAATTGTTTCCTCCTGCCTCTGAAAGTAAAGAGGATATAAATCAAATAAATAAATAAATAAAGAGAGCTTTACTCTGCTCTGAGCTTTTCCCCTGTCTAGTAGCTATTGAGACCTGTTGTTGAAAGCAATCATGTTTGTTCTCAGTTTGCTGTTTGATCTGTTAAACTGTCACTAAAGAAAAGGCTTTTTTATTATTTCTATTATTAATGTTTCAAAGTGAGTCATTTAGGCTGTAAGTGCCAGTTAATGGGAAAAGGGGTGGACTACTCTGGGGAATGAAACTATTCTGCTCTGTGAATCCTTGCACTTCTGCTGTACAGTTAGAGATATTTAAACAAAAAATTAAAAACTCTACAACATTGCCTCCACAAACTCCATAAGACCTTTTCAGTAAACATTAACTGCTGTATCGTGTCCCACCAAAAGCTAAGCAAGTAATCCTATTCTTATCCAGTGTCTAGTCCATTAGAGTGAGTTACTCTCACAGAAAAGCCAGGTAAATGATACTGCCTTATGCTGTATGGGGCATTCTGGGAATTCATACAAGACTTGGCAGTCCATACAAGCCAAGTCTTCCATCTCAGAAGGAAGCTCCAAGAGGACTGCTCCAAAATAAGGATTCATATCTGTGTGCTGCTTAGGAAACATATCAGAACAGTGTTGTATTTGACAAGAGGTGTTTGTTATTCCTGCATGAGAAAACTGCCCCTGTCTTGTGGGACCAGTTCCCTCAGTTCAACTGGTGAACAAAGAATCAAGGGGCAAGGCTTAATTTCTTCAGAAAATGGAACTCAACTTCACTTTGAGAGATTTGCTGAGAATCAGACATTCCTCTGTATTATGAAAGAAAACACCCTCTAGACAGGCTAGATTGACCATTTTGGAAGTGAATAAAGTCTGAAGGGCTAGTAATGCCTAATAGTTACTGAATATCTGAAATACAGATTTGCATTTCAGCCACATATACATAAGAAATTCTGTGTAAGTTTGCAATAAGTGCTTATGTTTAATACAGTGGTACCTCGATTTATGAACTTAATCCGTATTGGAACGGTGTTCGTACATCAAAAAGTTTGTAAATTGAGGTGAACTTTTCCATAGGAATGAACTGAAAACCATTTAATCCATACCTGCTGTTTTTTGTTCTTATGTTGAGGCACCGTTCTTAAGTCGAAGCATTAGATCCCATAAGAACTAATACAAAGCCGGTTAATCCGTACTCTACCAATAGGGAGAGAATTTTTTTATTTTTTTTTCTTCTTTTGACCTAAGATGAACTTAGCGCAGGAAAGATTTTTTTAGTTCGCAAGTCGAGACTCCATTTGCAAGGTGAAGCAACATTTTGCG